CAGGGTACAAGCCCCTTTCCCGAACTGGGTCCTGGAGTTCAAACCCACCAAGTGCAAAGTCTGAAGTTTGGGGGAAAGTCAAAGAAAAAAATGCGATACGGCTAGGGGGCCAGAGACGTCAACCTCACTCAAAGGAAAAGAATCTTTGGGGGGAGTATAATACCGGCACATTTCCTGCTGCAGCAATGGGCTCTGGAAACCTAAAATACCGTTCCACACCTCGGGAAGGAACTTCAAGACTCGTACCTGTACTTAGGCCCCAAATTGGGATGCAGCCCCCCGATAAACTCACAATGGTCAAAACAGTCAAGAAACTAAAATACAAAGGGTTTGCAACAAGACTAGTTCCCGAGCTGGGGATATGTCCTACGGGGAGGGGTTTAAAGGAAAATCGACCTGACGACACTTAAGGACAGAGGAATAGGGGGGATTTCATAACGAGTATAAAAACTTATAAAAATGACAAGGGGAAAGACAGGAGTTCCGAAGGGGACACAGCAACAAAAGGTCAAAACGGAAGTTGAAGACTCAAACGAGCCCACATGGATGTTGGGAAGTATTTTTTCAGTCAAGTTGTCGGGAAACGGGAACAATCTGGAAGTGATGAAGTGGGGGCGGGATCCATACAAGTTTTAAGAAGAGATTGATAAAGCTCATGGAGGAGTGGACCCTAGTAGCGACCAGTAAAGAAGGGGGCCAAGAGCTGTGGTCACCCCCTGCAACCACAACAGTGAGTACACACCACACACACTATACCTCACAAACTGATCAACACACCCTGCAGTGTGGACCAGTCAGGCCTTTTGGGCAAGATCATAACCAGGAGGGGGAGTTCTCGGGGTGGGCTGGGGAGGTAGGATCTGGAGGAGGATCGGGGGTAGGATCTGGAGGTAGGCCGGAGGGGGGTTATAAATAACTGGTCGCCAGACGGGAGTGAGGAGTGAATGTTTTCAGATACCTGGCAGTTGACCTTCGATAGAGGGGTCTACGAAAAACGAAAGCTAGACAATGACGAGGGAAGGTGGGTGGTGTGTTTAGGGCATTAGGTAGAGTTTCTCTATGGAGGAAAAAGGGGGATGACCAAAAATAGGGGACCCCAAAACTGTGGTGTGAAGCTTGGGTTGTACACGTTTTTCGAGGAGGGGGCTGCGCTGGGGAGTGATTTTTGATGTGGGGGGTTTTTGAATCACGATCTACAGTACCTTTCAGGCAGTACAGTGACCTCCACCCCAACACCACACACCCAACCACAAGGGGCAATATGTTGTGCGTACCCCTTACCCCCAATCTTCAACACATCCCTGGAAACGGGCAACCCGAGGATGGAAACGGCAAAAGTATTTCCCCTTTTTAAAAAAGAGACAGAAAAAGGGCACTAAACTATAGACCTGTGTCAGACGTGTATATTGCAAAAATTTTGGGGAAGAATCAGGAGGAGTGGGAGCACCTGGGGAAAGGAAAGGGGTATAAAGCCAACCGCCGGGTTCACGGGAAAGGCAAATCCCTTTTCAAAAACCTTTTGGGTTTTTTTGATAAAATAACAGAATAAAACAAGAGAGAGAGGGGGGGGTTTATTGCATCTTCTTGGGCTGCAAGAAGGCCTTTGACACAGTTCCTCACAAGAGATTAGTGCAGAAGCTAGAGCATCAGGCGCATATAACAGGAAGAGCACTGCAATGGATCAGAGAATACCTGACAGGGAGGCAACAACGAGTCATGGTACGTAATGATGTATCACAGTGGGCACCTGTGACGAGCGGGGTCCCACAGGGGTCGGTCCTAGGACCAGTGCTATTTTTGGTATATGTGAACGACATGACGGAAGGGTTAGACTCAGAAGTGTCCCTGTTTGCAGATGATGTGAAGTTAATGAGGAGAATTAAATCTGATGAGGACCAGGCAGGACTTCAAAGAGACCTGGACAGACTGGACACCTGGTCCAGCAAATGGCTTCTCGAATTTAATCCTGCCAAAATGCAAAGTCATGAAGTAGGGGAAGGGCACAGAAGACCACAGACAGAGTATAGGCTAGGTGGCCAAAGACTGCAAACCTCACTCAAGGAGAAAGATCTTGGGGTGAGTATAACACCGAGCATGTCTCCGGAAGCACACATCAATCAGAAACTGCTGCAGCATATGGGCGCCTGGCAAACCTGAGAACAGCATTCCGACACCTTAGTAAGGAATCATTCAAGACATGTACACCGTGTATGTCAGGCCCATATCTGGAGTATGCAGCACCTGTTTGGAACCCGCACTTGATAAAGCACGTCAAGAAACTAGAGAAAGTACAAAGGTTTGCAACAAGGTTGTTCCAGAGCTAAGGGGAATGTCCTATGAAGAAAGATTAAGGGAAATCGGCCTGACGGACACTGGAGGACAGGAGGGTCAGGGGAGACATGGATAACGACATATAAAATACTGCGTGGAATAGACAAGGTGGACAAGGACAGGATGTTCCAGGGAGGGGACACAAAGAAACAAGAGGCCAAATGGAAGTTGAAGACACAAATGAGTCAGAGAGATAGTGGAAGTATTTCTTCAGTCATAGAGTTGTAAGGCAGTGGAATAGCCTAGAAAATGACGTAGTGGAGGCAGGAACCATACACAGTTTTAAGACGAGGTTTGATAAAGCTCATGGAGCGGGGAGAGAGAGGGTCTAGTAGCAACCGGTGAAGAGGCGGGGCCAGGAGCTAGGACTCGACCCCTGCAACCACAAATAGGTGAGTACAAATAGGTGAGTACACACACACACACACACACACACACAATTAGGTGAGTACACACACACACATACATACATACATTCCTTATCACAGGAATAAGGAAACAGTCATGATCTTGCGAATAATTTTTCCCACACGAGCTCAAATCAACTGTTTGCAATTGTGTGTGTGTGTGTGTGTGTGTGTGTGTGTGTGTGTGTGTGTGTGTGTGTGTGTGTGTGTGTGCGGGCGTGTGTGTGTACTGGACAACAGACGTACACTTCCCAGCAATTGATTTTCAATAATTTTCAACCTCCCCTCAAGAAAGGCCTACCCTGCCATCTAGATTCCAATACAGATAGGCCTGTAGGCACGACTATTAAAAATATATACAAGGCACCCCATACCTACTATATATATATATATATATATATATATATATATATATATATATATATATTAAAGCTAATTACGTGGTTAATATTGGTTAATTTGATCTATTTAGCCGGTAATGAGTTACTGGCGAGTCTAATCTTGCCATTGAAGAGAGGGGAGATGAGGGGGCGGTGACCCCCATCTGTCTTCCTACCTCTCTACCTATCTTCCTACTTCTCTACCTATCTTCCTACCTCTGTGTTCCGAGTGAAGGCTCGTTCCTCCGTCAGGAAGTGCTCGAAAAAATATGCATTACACACACACACACCTGTTCACAGGCCTTTAATTGAACACAGCGTTCAGTCACCTTTCCTGTCTTCTGGACACATTCCAATTTCCACTCCCAGCTTTGTACCGGGTAGTATATACAACGTCTTCACCTTTGTACCAGCAATTATATAATGACCTTTGTACCAGGTGGTATATTGTCGTCACCTTTGTACTGGCAAGTATATCTTCACCCTTGTACCAGCAAGTATGTCTCCACCTTTGTACCACCAGGTAGTATGTACATTGCTATTGAAGACTACGAAGATGCAGGGCCAGGAGCTGTAATTCTATTCCTGCAAGCACAAATAGGCGAGTACACACACGCAGACGTGCCCGAAGGAGCGTCGTTCTGCCTCCTACAATTTCTTCCACAATATACCAACCATCAGTTCTCAAAAAAAAAAAAATACAACACCCACTGCCCTGCATATTTAAAAGGGACCAGGAGCTACAGACCCCATAAAACAAATCGGGAAACGGAGAAAATGGAAAGAGATAAGCAAAATATTCCATCATGGAGCCTTGTTGGACTGGAGGCAGAGCCAGTAGCCCTCCAGAACCACAACTACTGATGTCAACATCAAAATCCCTCAAACACGCAATGCGACTTAATTTATATTTCTTAATATACAGTACTTTAAGAGGAACGTAAGTTTTTTTAACATGTCCATTTTTCCACTGTAATCTACCTTGTCCATAATTATTATCGCATTTGCTTTTGTCTGTTTTCGTAAGGTGAAGTCCAGGACTTAATTCATGGTATAACTTTAATGTTTGAGTACAACTGTGTTACAGAGGTCTGAGCTTTGCTGGGACCTCTAACACGTGCCTCTTAATACAACCACCAACAACAAAATGATTTTCATCAATGAACTTCTAGAGGAGTCAAATGCGATGTTTGTAGCTTTCACAGAGACCCACACAAGAGTCCACTTTGAGAGTGAAATATGGATAAGAGGGTACGACTTTAGATGTGACAGAAAGAACAGGCAACAAGGGGAAGGTTGGCCTGTATGTCAGAGTCACTCATTTGCGAAGGGTTACTGTCACAAATGATGTAGTTGAAGTTCAAACGGTAAAGATTGAACCCCTTCCAGATAGACTGCAGGTAAGTCTATCAGTCATGCAGTAAGAGTCTTCAAATATCTTACTGGCTGACCGCTTGTCGTAGCCGTAAAACCCATCATATACGCTTGTCTTCAAGCGGTATCATGGCTTGGAGACAAGCTGTCCCCAAGCCTCTCCTCAAAGACCTGGGACTCTGGTCTCCTTGGGATCACCCTAGTCTCTAGGGATCATTCCGGTCTCTCTCTCTCTCTCTCTCTCTCTCTCTCTCTCTCTCTCTTTTTCTCTCTCTCTCTCTCACTCACACACACACACACACCACACAACACACACACACACACACACACACACACACACACCTCATTGTATATACACACAGAGATGTACACACATCTCTTAGGGCGAAGACATAGTAGGGTGACACATAGCAGGGTGACAGATAACAGGGCGACACATAGCAAGGTGACAGTTAACAGGGCGACACATAGCAGGGCGAAACACAACAGGGCGACACATAGCACTTACCTTGAAGGTGCGAGTCTGGCACCTGGGGTGGAGCGGGCGAAGTGTAGGTGGCACCTGTGTCTCGTGCACACGCCAGGGCCACCAGCAGGGTGCACATGAGTGTGCACACCAGGATCCTGCACACATGTGTAGTCATACTGGCACTGTCAGGGATACTGATATTATTATTATAATTACTGTTACTATAGTTACTGTTACTATAATTACTGTTACTATAGTTACTGTTACTATAGTTACTGTTACTATAGTTACTGTTACTATAATTACTGTTACTATAGTTACTATAGTTACTGTTACTATAATTACTGTTACTATAGTTACTGTTACTATAATTACTGTTACTTTAATTACTGTTACTATAATTACTGTTACTATAGTTACTGTTACTATAATTACTGTTACTATATTACTGTTACTATAATTACTGTTACTATAGTTACTGTTACTATAATTACTGTTACTATATTACTGTTACTATAGTTACTATAGTTACTTTACTAATTACTGTTACTTATATTACTGTTACTATAGTTACTGTTACTTAATTACTGTTACTATAGTTACTGTTACTTTAATTACTGTTACTTAATTACTGTTACTATAGTTACTGTTACTTTAATTACTGTTACTATTTATATTTACTGTTACTATAGTTACTGTTACTATAGTTACTGTTTACTATAAGTTACTGTTACTATAGTTACTGTTACTTTAATTACTGTTACTATAGTTACTGTTACTATAATTACTGTTACTTTAATTACTGTTACTATAGTTACTGTTACTTTAATTACTGTTACTATAGTTACTGTTACTTTAATTACTGTTACTATAGTTACTGTTACTATAATTACTGTTACTTTAATTACTGTTACTATAGTTAGTTACTTTAATTACTGTTACTTTAATTACTGTTACTTTAATTACTGTTACTATAGTTACTGTTACTATAGTTACTGTTACTTACTGTTACTATAGTTACTGTTACTTTAATTACTGTTACTTTAATTACTGTTACTTTAATTACTGTTACTATAGTTACTGTTACTATAGTTACTGTTACTATAGTTACTGTTACTTTAATTACTGTTACTATAATTACTGTTACTTTAATTACTGTTACTATAGTTACTGTTACTATAGTTACTTTAATTACTGTTACTATAGTTACTTTAATTACTGTTACTATAGTTACTGTTACTATAGTTACTGTTACTTTAATTACTGTTACTATAGTTAGTTACTTTAATTACTGTTTAATTACTGTTACTTTACTGTTATTACTTTACTATTGTTACTGTTACTATATTTATTGTTACTTTAATTACTGTTACTTTAATTACTGTTACTTAATTACTGTTACTTTAATTACTGTTACTATAGTTACTTTAATTACTGTTACTTTAATTACTGTTACTATAGTTACTGTTACTTTACTGTTTAATTACTGTTACTTTACTGTTACTATAGTTACTGTTACTATAGTTATTGTTACTTTAATTACTGTTACTTTAATTACTGTTACTATAATTACTGTTACTATAATTAGTTACTATAATTACCGTTACTATATTATTTCTACTGTTATTAAGACGTCTTACAGGTGGACAAAAATGCAATATACTGCGATGCTTTGTTAACAACGTTTCGCCCACACGGTAGGCTTTATCAAGTTACTTGACTTTATAAAGTGAAAATGACTCTTAAAATTAACCTGGGTGAATATGACCCTTAAAATTAACAGTCTGGGTGAAAATTATTCTTAAAATTAACAATCTGGGTGGAAATGATTCTTTAAATTAACAATCTGGGTGGAAATGATTCTTTAAATTAACAATCTGGGTGGAAATGATTCTTTAAATTAACAATCTGGGTGGAAATGATTCTTTAAATTAACAATCTGGGTGGAAATGATTCTTTAAATTAACAATCTGGGTGGAAATGATTCTTTAAATTAACAATCTGGGTGGAAATGATTCTTTAAATTAACAATCTGGGTGAAAATTCCCCTTGAAATTAATAATCTGAGTGAAAATGCCTGGTGAAAGTGAGTGGGCCAAGTGTCTGGTCTAAAGTGTCGTGGTCGTCGTCAACATGGTCGTGGCTCCGAGGACGACAATTGTATTTTTGGTGTCTGGTTCTCGTTCGTGTTTTCCAGTAAGTTGATTTGCATAAATGAATTCTTGAGGGAGACGCCACAGTGATCTGTGGTGTATCTCACTGCTGTGTGGAGGGCCCTTCAAGGCAGTGAAAGACTGGTATTAGGTATTACGAGGGACCTTCAAGGCAGTGAAAGACTGGTATTAGGTATTACGAGGGACCTTCAAGGCAGTGAAAGACTGGTATTAGGTATTACGAGGGACCTTCAAGGCAGTGAAAGACTGGTATTAGGTATTACGAGGAACCTTCAAGGCAGTGAAAGACTGGTATTAGGTATTAATACCTAATACAGGTCTCTCACTGCCTTCAAGGTCCACCTTAAGACTCAACCATGATTTTCAATTTTACACTAACAGCTCCTTTCAGGGCAGACCAAATTGCTGACCTTGAGAATATAGAGAACTTTCACTGGATGTATAAATACGAAAAGCACCGAAATTACTGGAAACGGTTGAATTCAATTGATTTTTATTCCCTGGAACGCAAGCGAGAGAGATACATGATAGTATACACTTGGAAAATCCTAGAGGAACTAGTTCTAAATCTGCATACGGACATGACTCCCTACGAAACCAAAAGACTTGGCAGGAGATGCAACATCCCCCCAGTGAAAAACGGACGCCACGAGTACGCTAGGAGATAACACTAGTGTCAGGGGCCCAAGACTGTTCAGCAGCCTCCCAGCATACATAAGGGGGATTACCAATTCACCCCTGGCTGTCTTCAGCACCCCTGGCTGTCTTCAGCACCCCTGGCTGTCTTCAGCACCCCTGGCTGTCTTCAGCACCCCTGGCTGTCTTCAGCACCCCTGGCTGTCTTCAGCACCCCTGGCTGTCTTCAGCACCCCTGGCTGTCTTCAGCACCCCTGGCTGTCTTCAGCACCCCTGGCTGTCTTCAGCACCCCTGGCTGTCTTCAGCACCCCTGGCTGTCTTCAGCACCCCTGGCTGTCTTCAACACCCCTGGCTGTCTTCAGCACCCCTGGCTGTCTTCAACACCCCTGGCTGTCTTCAACACCCTGGCTGTCTTCAACACCCCTGGCTGTCTTCAACACCCCTGGCTGTCTTCAACACCCCTGGCTGTCTTCAACACCCCTGGCTGTCTTCAACACCCCTGGCTGTCTTCAACACTCCTGGCTGTCTTCAACACTCCTGGCTGTCTTCAACACCCCTGGCTGTCTTCAACACCCCTGGCTGTCTTCAACACCCCTGGCTGTCTTCACACCCTGGCTGTCTTCAGCACCCCTGGCTGTCTTCAACACTCCTGGCTGTCTTCAACACTCCTGGCTGTCTTCAACACCCCTGGCTGTCTTCAACACCCCTGGCTGTCTTCAACACTCCTGGCTGTCTTCAACACCCCTGGCTGTCTTCAACACCCCTGGCTGTCTTCAACACCCCTGGCTGTCTTCAACACCCCTGGCTGTCTTCAACACCCCTGGCTGTCTTCAACACCCCTGGCTGTCTTCAACACCCCTGGCTGTCTTCAACACTCCTGGCTGTCTTCAACACCCCTGGCTGTCTTCAACACCCCTGGCTGTCTTCAACACCCCTGGCTGTCTTCAACACCCCTGGCTGTCTTCAACACCCCTGGCTGTCCTTCAACACCCCTGGCTGTCTTCAACACCCCTGGCTGTCTTCAACACCCTGGCTGTCTTCAACACCCCTGGCTGTCTTCAACACCCCTGGCTGTCTTCAACACCCCTGGCTGTCTTCAACACCCCTGGCTGTCTTCAACACCCCTGGCTGTCTTCAACACCCCTGGCTGTCTTCAACACCCCTGGCTGTCTTCAACACCCCTGGCTGTCTTCAACACCCCTGGCTGTCTTCAACACTCCTGGCTGTCTTCAACACCCTGGCTGTCTTCAACACCCCTGGCTGTCTTCAACACCCCTGGCTGTCTTCAACACTCCTGGCTGTCTTCAACACCCCTGGCTGTCTTCAACACCCCTGGCTGTCTTCAAGAGGGAGCTGGACAGGCACCTAAATTCAGTACTTGACCAGCTGGGCTGTGGCTCGTACGTTGAGCTACGTGCAACCAGCAGTAACAGCCTGATTTATAAGGCCCTGATCCACCACCAGGCCTGGTCGTGGACCTGGCCGAGGGGCGTTGACCCCCCAAACACCCTTCAGATATACTCCAAATCTACCTTCAATTACCACTAAAATTGAGTGAACCATTGATATTTCTCCTTGCAATTGACGTTCAGGAGAGAGAGATATATAATTTCGAGGAATTTTTAGGGTTATTAATGATAATTCTGCGCCTCCTGGTCTCTCAGAAATGTATAATTAAGGCGGTGATTATCGCCGGGAAATTTCCATTAGACGCAAAAATATCTCGAGTCATTAAGAGGAATTTTGTATTCAACATGTCCTCACATGTTGAGAAATTTTGTGTTTTGCGAGTTTTTTAAACACGTACACGCGCTCAGCTCACATCTTGAGGTCAGTGGTTCGATCCCCTCTGCGGAAATTATTTTTCGGGGTTAGGAGCTGTGAACCGACCCCTGCAACCACAGTTAGGTGAGTACACACACACACACACACACACACACACACACACACACACACACACACACACACACACACACACACACACACACACACACAGGGTGACATGGCTGAGTTCTTATGATCTTTAAGACGCTTCCTGAGAATAGTTTCGCCCACTAGGGCGAAACTATTCAAGGTGTTGAAACAGCTCCTGGTGGTTGAAACTACCCAATGTCTTGGAGCAGCCATCAAGGCAGTGAAAGACTCAAATTAGGTATCAAAAAAATGACAAGTCTTATCTGACCAACTTGGTACAGTTCCGTGACAAAGTGAGAGAGAGAGAGAGAGAGAGAGAGAGAGAGAGAGAGAGAGAGAGGGAGAGAGAGAGAGAGAGAGAGAGGGAGAGAGAGAGGGAGAGGGAGAGAAAGGGGTGAGTAGACTGCCTTTTCGTCATTTACAGGAAAACGCTCGATATTGTAACTCGTTTGAGCCAGGGGCAAAATTT